TTGCAATCTTATATTTTATTCTCAAGCATAGTGCATAGTTGTTTCAAATGCATCAAATTGTTAAGATCTTGGTTTTATTGTTATGTTGATTTTATTTTGAAATTTATCTTATTATAATAGAAACCACATGCAAGTGATCTTTTGCCAAAAGAAAGGGATGAAAAAAAAAAAGTTGTATTCTTCGGTAAAAGATCACATAGGTCTTTCTTTCAAGTCTTTCTCTAACTTTCGACTATTTTGGGTATAGTATGATGTTATTTTGGCAGGCTTTGATCCCCATATAGTGTAGCCTTAGTTGTTGAAGCAGTAGGACTTCGAGTAAAGAACTCTTAAGATATGTGGGGGCTACCGCCACGACCCAGCCCCTTTCCTAGAATGGAATCATCTTTGTAAGAAAGAAAGAGCAGTTTTCATATTTGGAAGTTTAGGTGGAAGTCGTATTTATCAAGAGTCTGAACTTAAGAATTCAATTCAATTTATTTATAAAGAAATTAATCCGCAGGTAATTTGTAGACATAGCTGATATGTATTTACTCTCTCTATTTACAAGGGAAATCAATATGTAAAACATAATAAATCGGTATTTATTATTAAAAATTACATGTTCATGTCTAACCACAAACGACTGAGTAAATAGGAGCTTCACTCAAGGAATGAAAGAAGGCTTCATGCTGATTTATCTTTTTAGGAGAGGGACTTTGTGGTGGTAGCATCTCCATTCCTAGTTTCCCATTGTGGTCTTTAATCTTGCTGACACTACCCCCACGTTCAAAAAAGCTGACTCTTTAATTTATGTGAAAAACAGGTAAGGGCCTACTAAATTACCCAAAAAACAAAAAAAGGCTTACTAAATTACCCAAAAAACAAAAATGAATGCTTCATACATAGAGCTTCCCATTTTCTGAAGAGAGGGTAGATACTCTATGGATACGGCTTCTCTTTGGCAAGGGAGAGAGGACGGAGCTCACTACTTGTTGAAAGAAAGTGTTGTAACTTTAAAAAAGTGTTAATTAGTTTCCCGTTTTACAAAAATACATAATGAGATCATTTATATTTCGTACAAGGTGGTCACAATTAATCTTGATCATTGTATGTGAAATTGGGTGGCTACATTTATTTCATTGAACTAACTCAAAATTCAAAAAAAAAATATTTGAGCTTTATGACACATCTAAGCTATGAGATTTCACATTGTATGGTTATAAATTATTATAACCTCTGTAAATGGTCTACACAATCCCCATTAGTTTCAGCTTTTGGGGCAAGTACAAATGAATATATCTTTGGGTTTTGTTAGGCTACACTATTTGGTAGTGTAGACTTTTAAAATGCTCAATATTTTTGGATATTAAAATATTTTTGAATTGTAATATAAATTTTTTTCAAAATGGGACATTTTCGATTATTTAGAAAAATAGAATAGATATTTTTATAAAAAAATAGTGACATTCTATTAGAAGTTAAAAACAATTAATACATCTTGTGGGTGATGTCACACACCATATCAGTGATGTCATTGTCCACTACTGTTAATAAATATTTTTTGTTTCTATTAGAAATTTCTAATTTACCTTTGATTATAGGATAAGGGTATCGAAATGTTTAGATATGTTGAGCACTTTTAAAGATCTACACCATGGTGTAGCCTAACAAAACCGGTCCATCCCTTTCTCTCTCTTCAAGTTGAAGACTGTCTGAGGCATTATAACCATCATCAGGTCTCTCCCTAATTCTCTTTCCAAGTTGAACATAACAAAACCCGTCCGTCCCCTTCTCTCTCTTCAAGTTGAAGACTACCCGTCCATTCCCTTCTCTCTCTTCAAGTTGAAGAGTGTATGAGACGTTATAACCATCAGCATTAGGTCTCTCCCTAACTCTCTTTCCAAGTTGAACATAACAAAACCCGTCCATCCCCTTCTCTCACTTCAAGTTGAAGACTGTCTGAGACATGATAACCATCATTAGGTCTCTCCCTAACTCTCTCTCCAATTGAACACTGTCTGAGACATTATAACCATCATTAGGTCTCTCCCTATACGAAACATGCAAGTGTGATCATCTCTCTCTCTCTCTCTCTCTCTCTCATTCAGATATGCCTCTCTCCAAGTCGAACACTGTTTGAGATATTATAACCGTCTCTCCCTATACGAAACATGCAAGAATCTAATTCACTACACTTAAAAAGGACAATTGACCCAAAACGTCCTTCTGAAAGCACATATAAAAATAAAAGCAAAGAATTATTAGGTGGTTAATAGCTCTCTCTCTCTCTCTCGATTTGGATCTCTCATAAAGCATCAGTCCCTCGATTTGGATCTCTCATAAAGCATTAGGAAGAGGGACGCATCTCTCACATATGAGGGTCGCTAAGAGGGTATCTCTCATATAAGGAGGGTTCGATTTCAATCTCGATTTGCTCTCATCTGAAGAGAGCAAGGAAGGTCGCATGCCTGCTTTGGATCTCTCCCTCCACTCAAACATATGGGGGTCGCATCTCTTTCCTGATCTTTCTCCTCTCTACCCCGTCTCAAACAACATATCATTTGGGGTCGCATCTCTTTCCTAATCTCTCTCCCAAACAGTCAAAAAGCATACGAGGATCGCATCTCTTTCCTGCTCTCTCTCTCAGAGTACAAACTCGTGAACGCTTCACCAATTTAGAAAAAAAAATTACTCTTTAAAACATAAAGAAACAGAGACACTTGGCTCATGGACACTTTAAAATCTTCACCACGGAGAAGAGCAACACCCATGGTTCGAACTCCAAATACTAAACCCACCCAACAACCATCCCTTTCTTTCCCTAATTTTAGGTTACCGAAAGTGCAAACCACGGTTTGGTTGTTGAATACTTGCCTCAAAATCATTTCAATTTTGAACAAAATTCAGACCATTCAGCAACAAAACATGGTATCACTAGAGTGAGAGAGGGAGAGAGAGAGACATTAGTGCAATGAATCAGAGCCTACAAACAAATCTCTTTCCATATGAAAAGTCAGCAAGAGAAACTACTACACAGTGAGGTGAAGAGCCAATAAACAATAATGCAAAAACCGTTCGAAAATCAAAAATCGCTTTGGAGGGGCTAAGAAACGAAATACTCTTATACAACTCATATCCTTCCTAATAAAACCTCAGTCATATCCTTCCTAATAAAACCTCAGTGCCTTGGAACTTGATAGATCCTTCTGGTTTTACAAAGGGAAGACACCTCAAAATAGCTAAAAATTTCAATGGATCCTTCCCCTATTGAACCTATGTCTCCCTCCTTGACCTCCTTTGGCGAGGAGCTGCTGCGTCTTCTTTCTCGTTTTCATCTTCATTTTCGGCACTTGTCCCCTGGTTCCCATCGCTCTCTGGAACTGCCTCCTTTGTCTCAGTTGCGGCCTTAGGAGGAGCAGGCTACAAAGAAAACGGTGAAACACAAATCATGAGAACGGAGAATTTCAACGATTAAATTAGAACCAATATCAGGTTTCCTTTTTTTGTTTTTTGATGGTTTATTGATCATTATCATCAATCAAGCCAACCATTTGGTTTATCAATATAGCGGACTTGTTTAATTGTCAAAAGAACTCTTGAATTAATGTCTACCCCAATTGAAAAGTATATAATAGCTTAATACAGAAACACTCACAGTGGGTTTCTTCCCTCCAAAGAGGACCCTTGAGATGGCCGTGAGGAAAACAAGCAACACAGCAACCAAAATGCCGATAGTGAGATTAGGTTGCTTTTCACCCTTTTCGATGGCATCCTGCACAGTGAATAGATTGGATCAATACCACATGAAATACTAACAAAGAATCAAAGAACGACCAAAAAAGTAGGGGAGAGTACAGCAAAGGAACCTCCCATTACTAAAATGGAAAAGATGCTGAAATCTTGAAGCCAAATCAAAGCACCCCAACAACTTACAATTATCTTGATCTTGTAAGCATCCAAGAACGGGACATCCGCAATCTTGTAGAGAAGATCAAAGACCTTTTTCTGCAAATAATTCAAAGGAACTGTTATAAAACCAGATTCATATTCTAAACATTTTTTTTTTTGAAATTCCAGATTCATATTCTAAATATACCAGTTCCAACACAGATAAAAAACCAAACAAATAAGCCAATGATCGACTAGACCAATAAAAGTAAAATAAACATGACTACCCAAATGCCAAAAACATAAGTATCGCCTAAAGTAACTAAGGAACGTCAATAAAAGATGATGCAAACATGACCAACCATATGCTAGAACAAGACTTCATAAAGATTCACCTAAAGTAAAATGAACTTATACATTGTTACTCAACAGAAAGGCCAATATATAACGCTAAGGAACATTACCTGGAATCCCGAGAGCCCAGAGCTGGCAGCCAAAGCTGCTTCCTCAGCCTTCTCCTTCTCTTTCTCAGCCTCAAACTTGGGCTTCCATGCCTTCTCCCTGTATTGCTCAGCAACCTTCGCATCGTCTGCTATCAAAATGTTATCAAACAAAATGCCATCTTGCATTGTCCAGATCTCAATCCCAATAGCCGCAATCGGCTCTACATTAGGCTTCTCAAGCTCAAAGTGGTCAGGGTTTGAGATCTGCCTTGGCTTCCAAATACCCTTGTAGTTAGGGTTATCGATTAATGGTGCATGCCACTTTCCCTTGTAAGCTGGATTCCTCTTCGTTGGCCTTTTCCATTCTCCACAGCCAGGGGCCTCCTCACACTTAGGGTTATCAATCTTGGGTGCCTCCCATTCACCATCCTCTTCTTCATCCCAATCCTCGGGTTTTGTGGCCTCGGGGTCATCAATCTCTTCGGGTTCATCATCTAACCATCCCTCTGGTTTAACTGCCTCTTCATCTTCAATTTCCATAGGTGCATCTTCATCCCAATCGTCAGGCTTAACAGCATCAGGGTCAGGGATTTTGGCCCTCTCATCCCAATCTTCAGGTTTCTTGTCATCAGGATCGGGAATTGTGGCAGCTGGGATGAGTGGTGGCTCGAAGTCATCTTCAGAGAGGAAATTTGCCTTCTTTTTTTCTTCACCATCAATCACAACCACAAAATCATTGTTGGGTTTTAGTATAGCAGTGTAGACATGGGTGAGCTTATCTGAGGGAACTGAGGGTGGATACTTGAGATGGTGCTCGACGAATTCACCACTCCTTGGGTTCTTGTGTTTCAGAATGAAGTGGACTTTATTGGTTGAGCCACATTTGTCCGGGCCAAACATGATGGAATAGGGGGCCTCATTATCGAATTCCTTGGGTTTCCAGCCTGCCTCTTGGGGGCGGAGGTATTTGAGGTAGGCCCCTCCACATTCGAGTCCATTTTGGAGCCGTGTTTCAAATTGGAGGACGAGTTCACCATCTTTAAATTCAACAGGTTTGTCCAACTCCTTTACTATGGCATACTTTCGGGCCTTCTCACTCACAAGGAGGCCATAATCATCATGTCCTTCACTTTTTGAGTGCTTCCACACACCTAAATCCCATGAATCAATCAGGTTAATGTGAGAGTTAACAACAGTAACGTAGACGGATTTCATAAAGTCAGTTTGGGGAAGGTCAGGGATTGAAAGTAATACTTTAGATGTCAAAAACAAATCGAATATTTTCCTGGAACCTTCAGTTCAAAAAAGATCTTTCCGAAAATATTATCCATTCAATTCTGAAGCTTAGAAGAAATCAGATAACAAAAGAACATCCCAACATTACATGCTGGTATAATTCATCCATTATTAACGAAAGGATAACAGCCGACCCATGAATTTATGCCTCGACATCACTTTGCTTTTCTTTAAAACTTTGTCCAAACAGAAGTTTCAGCCACACTTTTCAAAACCAGGTCAGTTTGAAGTAGTACTTCATGATGATTAGCATATATAACTATCACACAATGATACTAAGTGAACTATAAGGAATTTTCTGATCAATAAGGAATTTTCTCAAAAAACAGTAATAATATATTTTCGCATTTTGTACCATTATACCCAAAACCCATAAAAGTCATTTATTGTTAACCAAAGGAAAACAGCTGATCCATGAATTTACCCAACATCATCACTTGGCTTTTCTCTAATAATTCATATGGTTTTTTCCAGAGTCCAAACTGAATTTTCAGCCACACTTTTCTAAAATTGGTGAGCTGGAACTAGAACTTCCATGATTATTGGCATATGTAACAAGTACACAATGATACTGAATGATCTATAAGGAATTTGCTGATCTACAAGGAATTTGCTCAAAAAACAGTAATAATGTAATTCCAGATTTTGTGCCCATTGTACCCGAAACCCATAAAAGAATGCTAATTGCCACATAACCAGTATTCCAGTGGCAGCATATATAATAAATACATTACTTTAGTAGATCTCACGACCAAACAGAAAGAAATGCCACTACAATAGTTTATAAAAAAAAGGAACAAAAATAAAACAAAGGAACCACAATCCATTGGTAGTCATCCCGATGGATGCAGCCAGTGAAATACAAGTAGCCAGGATCCAGTAAGGGAAAATAACCAAAATTTAAACAAAAATCTCACCTTGATAGTCATCTTTCTCTGATACAATCCACCGTCCGTCAAATGATTCATCAAATGACTCGTAGAAAGTCTGATACATGTCAAAACCAAAATTAAAGTTAGTTCACAGCCAAACAAAGGCTTTATCACAAGGAGAAGAATTTTATGATCACAATAGTTCAGTAAGAAAAAAAAATTGCCGCAGGAAAGCCAAAGAAAGAGATCAAAGTCTTACCGGCATCGAAGTAGAGAGTGTAGAAATGAGGCCAATTAACAACAGCAGAAGGGAAATCCGGTTTCCTTCCATCAGGACAAATCAGAAACCCTAGTAACAGAAAAAAAAAATTAAGATCATAACCCTCAAATCCACTCTTTGATCACTACAAAACCGCAAACCCTAGACCCAGCAACGGATCCAGAGATGCAAAAGATCACAGTTAAGCAAAATAACTGAATATATACAAAAAACACAAAATTTACAATGATTCAGAGATCAATGGAATCTCCGGAGCAAAACTAGATCATAAAAATTAATTCCTTAAAAAATATAAAGATAAAAATGAGGAGAGAGAGAGAGAGAAAGAGAGACTGGAATGAGTAAAAAATTAGATGGAGTAAAATGAAAGAATGAACACAGTTAAAAAAAATTTTGAAAAAATTGAAGGAGAATACCTAAAGAGAATGAAATAATAGATCGGATTGAAGGATATCAGCAGTCATGGAAAGAGAAATACAATAAAAGATAGAAAAATACGAAAAAAAGGAAAAATAAGAAAAATAGTGAAAAACTCCTAAAAATGAAGCAAGAGATCGGATAAAAGGATATCAATAGCAAATGAGAAAAACATGAATCAATGACACAGAAAATTAAGAAAAAAAAGAGTGGAAATAAAGAAAAGTGAACCAAAATGCCTAACTTTGAAGCAGGAGTCGGTAAAAAAATATTTCAGTACTAAAATAAGAGAGAAATGCAATCCCAGACCTGAGACAGAGAATTAATAAGAAAAAAACAAAATTGGAGTGAAAATAAGTGAAAAATGGCTGAACAAGAGAGAGAGAGAGGCCGTAAAATACCAGAAAAACGAAGCAAGCGACGAGAGAGAAGCCTGAATCTCCTTTTTTGGTGAAGAGAGGGAGCACTTCGATCTAGGGTTTTTGTAGGGGGAGAAACGGGGGTAAGAAAAGTAGGCCCGCGAGATCGACGTACCGGCAGCCAATAGCGTTTCGGGGCCTATCGATTTCACCAATGAATTCACGACACGTCATCAAACTAGTGCATAGGTGACGCAATTAAACTCGAATGACAATCGAATTCTCGCGAAATACCCAAAAGTGCGTAATTGTGTTTGCACGTGACAACTAATTATTTTACCCATTTAATCCATTTTTAGGTGGCGTTTTATGCCTTCACACGTGCCATTATTATTTGGTTGCAACTGTTTTTTTGTTTCCTTAAAATAAAAAATATGTTGATAGGGTAGGACCTCGGTTTAAGAGAAGGGTGTGGTGGTTCCATTTAAGGCGCGGCTTCAAATTCCTTCATGATATATAATTTTGATGTAAAATATTCTTAAAATTATGTCAAAATATATTATCAAATCTAATTATAAAATTTTAAATTTTAAAAATGATTAAAATCAAGTAGATCTATAAACATATAAAAATCTTGAAAACGGACGGTCTAGATGATGTGTTGTAAGATGCACCATTTTTTTGGAGGCTCAAAATCTTTTTTTTTTTTTTACATAGACATACATCTCGATGTCGAGATGATCAATTAAAAGGTTTTTCAACATTAAAACAATATTTACCGATGAATTTTTGAGGTGCCTTTGTGCTCCTATATTTTAAGTTGCAACCTTATATAAATTTTTTCTTTAAAAGAAAAGGCAAGGCCACACTTTAAAGAAAAATGGCTTATCCTGAAAAAATAAGTAAGGGATCGTATACAATGAGACTATTTACTTTTGATATAAGGCGGTCACAATTACTTACAACCATCTGATGTAAAGTTTGATAGCTTGGATGTATCACAAAGTTTGAAAAAATTCCTTTTGAAGTTTGAGCTTAGTCAATGGAATAATGGCAACCACCCAATTTCACATTTAATGGTCAAAATTAATGTCTCACATTGTACCAAAGATATATGGTCTCATTCTATACTTTCCCAATAAGTAACGCCTCACCTCATAACTCAAAATTGCAATTTAAGCCTTTTACATTGATCATCTTGATTTAAACATGATGGTTGTGAACAAAATTAAGATTTCAAACTCTAAAAAAATGGTATATCGTAATAAATTATCTAGGCTGTCTATTTCATCTTAAAAATAAGTGTTTAAAGATCAGTATTTGGAATTGCAAAGTGTCTTGGGGAATTTTTTTATCTCAAGTTTTGAAGAGGATGCTGCCATATAGGAGTTGGAATCTGATGGTGCCTTCTCGGTAAGGTCAGCTTATGATATTTTGTTCCATGATTGTGTAAGATGGAATCAGGCCTTTTTTAAAAGATATATGGAGTTGGAAAATCTCTCATAAAGTGCAGGTTTTTGTTTGGATTTTGGCGCAAAGTAAATGCTTAACAAGGTACAATTTGCTAAAAAAAGGTAAGGTCATTGTTAATGTTTGCCTTTTTGGTAAAAATAATGAGGAAACACATGATCACTTGTTTTTACTTTGTCTGATTACTTCTGCACTTTAGTATTGGGCTTTGCAAAAAGTTGGGTTTTCTTTGAATCCCCCTTCATCCATTTGGCATATTGTGAATCAATTGAAAATTGTTGGAGTTCCAAGGGTTGGGGGAATTCATTGGAATATTTTTCGTGATTCATTCTTATGGGAAGTATGGCTTGAAAGAAATAAGAGGACCTTTGAAGGTGTGACAATAGATTTGACAACTTTAAAGAATAAGATCCTACTCAATACATGGAATTGGTTTAGAATTACTAAAGAAGGATGTAGATGAGAATCTTGATCAGCTAATCTCGTTAAGATTTATTAAGGTGAGGCCAAGAAGCAGCTGGCAGCCTCCTTTGAGTGGTTGCTTTAAATTGAATGTTGATGGCTCTTCTATGGGAAATCCAGATAGGGCTGGGGTGGGTGGAGTATGCAGGGACTCAAATGGGAATTTAGCTTTATGTTTGCAAGACCGTGTGACGATGCTAATGCGAACTATGCTAAAATGACAACAGTCCTACAAGGTATCAAGCTATGGAAGGAGATGAGCCTGGTGGACTCCCTATTTGTGGAAGGGGATTCTAAGAATGCGATGAACTGGTGTAACTACTTATCTATTATACATTGGCGTATGAGATCTATTTGGTTGTACATTAAAGAATTATCTCCTGGCAGCAACATTACCTTCAACCATATATAGAGAGAGGCTAATACTTTGGCAGATGACCATGCTAAGACGGGGATATCCCTTCCCTCGTTAAGGGTTTCCCTTTCTTTGTTCTAATGTTGGTTTTCTTTTTGCAATTTCTCGGCTGTTATGGTTGTAATGACTCCATTATTACAGTCTTGTCAAAAAAAAAATAAGTGTTCAAAGATCCGTAAGATATGTACATTTTTTTAGTTTTAATTTATATTTGTCGGTACTGAAAATTGATTTTATGGCCATTATGGAGATTTTCGTTACCAAAAGTGCTTTCCAAATGAGGATTTGAGGTGATGCTTTATTTTATTTTCATAAAGCTTAGGCCTTATAGAAACTTCATCCCACTTTAAAACCGTGTAGAAAAATGTAATTCTCAAGGGGGAGCCATCAAAATCTATATTTGTTCTTTTGCGATTATGAAATTTGAAACTCTAAAAACATAGTATTGATTTGTGGACATTTGATAGTAAAGGTCAGCAATATGATACAATATTTTTCAAATATTTAATGAAAAATTGTTTCATGCGGATTTTAGGGCCATTATGGAGATTTTGAGTTTCAATTTATATTTGTCGGTGTTGAAAATTGATTTTAGGGCTATTATGGAGATTTTTGTTACCAAAAGTGCTTTCCGAATGAGGATTTGCGATGATGCTTTATTTTATTTTCATAAAGCTTAGGCCTTATGGAAACTTTATCCCACTTTAAAACCTTGTAGAAAAATGTAATTCCCGAGGGGGAGCCATCAAAATCTATCTTTATTCTTTTGCGATTATGAAATTTGAAACTCTAAAAAAAATAGTATTGATTTGTGGGCATTTGATAGTAAAGGTTCGCAATATGATACAATATTTTTCAAATATTTAATGGAAAATTGTTTCATGCGGGTTGGATCGCATTTCTACAATATGCAATCCAGAGGGATAAAGCATCCATCTTAAAGGTGGATGCAAATAGGTGGTCCATCTAAAAACAAGTGTAACTAATGGTCCAACTGGTTTTTTTAATATAATTATTATTTCTACTTTTCAAAAAAAAAAACCATATTCATGATCTCCATCTCAAAGATTATATATTCTCTAAAAATTAAGACCAAATTCTATTTAAAATATGTATTTATTGCCAAGCCCGCATTTCTATAATATGCGGGCTAGCCGCATAGAAACCATGTCCATATTGAGGTTGAGATTATCAATTTGATGCTTTTTTATACCAAAACTATAATTTTTGGTGAGATTGGAGCCATGGCCTTAGGAAATTGCGGCATTTACTTAAAGAATTCTAGTGACACTTTTTAAAGAATTATAGTGACACTTTTTGGGTTACGATAATTATTCCATCTATTTTGATATTGAAAATAAGATCTTTGAGATTGATGATTTTAGGGTTGAATACATGAACAAACTGATAAGACTCTCAACAAAGGGAAAAGTTTATATACAGCCTAGACTCTAACACAATCAAATTAGAGGCTACCTCAAAATTTTTATTAGAAGAGGTTGTTTTGATGATCAAATATCATCAAACTGATCATCTCGATATCAAGATGTATAGACATGAGAAAAAAACAGATTTTAAGTTTTAGAAATAATACATCTTGTAACGTATTTTTAGACCGTCAATTTTCAAGATTTTTAAGTTTTCATAGATCGGCTTGATCTATATTATTTTTTAATCTTTAAATTTTATAACTAAAGATGAAAACATAATTTAAGGCTATCATAAAACTTTCTAATATTAAAATTATAAAGTTTAGAGCCTCAGCTTTATACAAACCGCACCCCTCAACAAATGCACGTCTGTCTTCAATGATAGCGACCTTAGGAGTGCACTGAAAAGTGTTTATTTTCTACATATCTCCGCAATAGATATGAGAATTAGAGGCCCTTAAACTCTTTTAACTCTTTGAGATGTGTTCCAAAACTGAAAGAAACACAATTTATTTGGGAACTTACATTTTAGATGGATAAAATTGTGTTGCCATTTGAGAGAGAGGAACCCAGCCGGTTACTTAGAGAATAGAAAAGTCTTCTATAAAGACTCGATTTATAAAGTTGCACCCCGGATCTCAAAAAACGCAATTTCGACCGCAAAAGATTTACATTGACCATCTTGACGTAAACAATTATAAATGTAAAATAAAAATATAACATGGGCCAGTTCTGGGTTGTCGCAGGTCAGTTGATAGAGGGAATTGGTTAGTTCTTGATATTTTGCATGAACCGACCTGGCCCCTTTGATACCTGATCTGAATCAGTTGGTTCCAATCCAAATCACCATTTTTTAAAACCTTGTTGCCTGCAATTTCAACTCCGTTAATACACTCAATTGGTAGCGTTCCATTATTGCGTTATAACTTAGAGCGGTTTGGATGGTTTTGTGTTTAGGTGTTAACTTATTTCCTTTCCTGATTTAGTAGGTATGGACTTCTATAGTCCTTTTTTAATAACATCTTTGTTATTAATACATATTATTTTGTATGCATATTATGAATGTTGTGCCCCAAATTCCTGAAAAAGTCTTCATTAATTTTCTTAATTTTTCATGCCTCTTTCTTGATGGTTATGTATGTCCAACCATTAAAAGTGAAAGCTATGAGGTTGCCAATTTATTCAATCAAAACTGATATATTATTGCATTTGGTGCTATTTATTATTTTATTTTATTTTGACAAGAGTACTTATTTTTTATTAAAAGAAATAGGAAAGCGATACATCAATTACAACAAAACAGAAGAAATAACTGAAGAATTAAAAAACACTTATTGCTAAGTCATCTGCAACCCCGTTTGCTTTCC